TTTGTTGTGACGTGCAGGTAATATTTTCTTACGGTTCATTTGTAATGGTATGTTTGGTAAGGATGGCTAGTAATAGTGTATGGACTTGAAGACTGTGGTAACCAATTCACTATAGGCAGAAAGGTCCCTTAAGTGTGAACGATCCAATATACTTTTAAAAGGGGTATATCTTCAGTTGAACTAAAAAAGAATATGCCATGAAGTGTACTACGAAGCAGCACATATTCGTCGCAAATGCAAAAACTACTTTAAGGTATACGGTAGCTTGGTTATGGCGTTAAGATGTAATATGTTGTCTTGCAGTTTTTCATCGCACAATAGAAAATGACCGCCTTCTTTTCTCGCTAAATAGATAGCTCCTCCCTTCTCCCTTCAACTCATCGCTAGATTGGTTTTGAGGAAAGGTATATAAAATGGATAGAGACAAAAGAATTCTTTGTTGATATCCGAGTGCTTTTTGAATCCAATTGAAAATCATGTATATTTGCATTGAGATTATGCACGGTTGATCCCTCTCTCCCTAGCTCCGCCCACGTCACACCCCCTTTTAACACATTTTCACCTGCGTTGGTCTAGAAGCTTTCTGCTGTCATTATATGTAGTTGAAGCTGATTTAGGGTAACTTTAAATGTTATTGGAAGAAGTTCCCCCTCAATTTCTCGCACTTCTTCCACTAATTTCCTCAACTTTCTTTGCTCCCCGAACTCTCTTTGTTTTTCTCATTTAGTTTCATGAACTTTTCAAACCACCCCCGCCCTCCCTAAACGGCCCACTTTGGATGTTCTTTGCGCTTTCTCCGCCCAGTGAAGAAGTGTTTTCACTCGTGCGCGCACCTACAAAAGTTCATCACGCGGCGATATTCATCTTCGCTACGGCGAGAATAGTAAGTCGCGCACTTAGTGCTGGACTGGTTCTTAGTACTGTCATGCCGTTAACTAGTTAAAGAACATTCATCTAGGGTTCATTCACCCTTACCTGGTAACTTGTAGGTTGTCGGGTATG